GACTGGACTGCAAGCTCACAAAGGCAGGAGCCGTGCCTGTTTTTACTCAGTGATGATGCCCCTGGTGCCTGCATCTGGCACAGGGGCGGATACATAGTAGTAGCTTAATAAATATTTGCTGAGTACTTGAATGAAAGTTTCATGAAAGGCTTTTTCTCAGCATCATGAGGATGGATGAATACAGCCCCACTTTGCTGTAACAGCTCATTCACAGCCTAGAGAAGGAGACAGGTACCAAAAATATTGTAATCTAAGCTAGATTGCAATTAGGGCTCGGAAATACTATGCTTTCAATTCTTGAAAATGTACCATTCAACTGACCTTTGTCAGTCAATTCAAAATGAGTGAAGTATAATGTTAAATAGCACAGACAGTATTTGTGAAAGTCTAACCTTCACACAGTAATCCTAGCTCTAAAGGAAATAAAAAGCTGAACAGTCAGTATTAAAAGTTGAAAAGATAGAATAAAATGCATTAATATCTTTAAATGCCAGGACATTATGCCTGTGAAGCTGGTCTATGTGTGGGAAATGAGGAAATTTTTAGTACTGCCAAGCATTTTTTCAACTCCGTTCTACTCCGGCCCTGGGTTGTGGCATGCAGCACGCGCTGGGTAAGAAGGCTGGCTGGCAGCGCATTCTCGGAGGAGTCAGGTGATCCTTGTTTGAAGGCAGCTGCTTGAGGTTCAAGGCAGTCAGTGTCCCCTCTCTTCTGCCTCGGGACAGCTGGTCATTCTCAAACTCCTAACAAGCCTCTCTTGCTCGTTGCTTGCTGGGGAGGAGGGAGATTATGCCGCCTGTTTCTGATTGATCCAATGGGAATTACATTGATCTGGTGTCTGGCCTTGGTTCTTATCAAGTGGATCGCCTCTAAGGTAGGCCGTCTTTATTAGGATTGTAACGTTAACCATTAGTTTTTATATTTGGTAGGAATGAAATTACTAGTCAGGTTTCTTCTCCTTTTGCTTCAATTTTTATTTCTCTAATTAAAAGAGTTCTGAGTTTTACCCGTCGGTGGAAAAGCTTAGCATTACTGTGTGAAATGTTTATTCTTCCCCCACCTTATTCCTTCCCGAGGACTTTTCATGGTGTCATTCCTTGGTATCATTCCTTAGCAGTTCAACTTTTAAGATTATAAAATTATTAAACAATTTAGACTTTTAGTGTACATATTTTAAACATTCTCTTCTGGAGGTAAAGAATTTACTAATGCTTATAAATTTAAAGTATAGTTTTTGAGGATTTCCAAATAAAATGATAGTGTATAAACTTTTTAAAAACTACCACCCTCTATTATGGTCTCAAGGTCTTGCTGCCACTAAAATGCATGCCTTACTTATAATACATTGAAAACATTTAAAATTATTATATGTCTGTTATCTTTTTATTTAAATTCTAAATATCAGGCTTGAGAAATGCTTGTTAGAACGCTGGCCATTTACCATCTGGAAGAGTGAGAGTTTAAAGTAGCATATATTTAAGAGTATAGTGTTTGAAATTATTTTTCTGTACTCATATGAAAAGGATTATATTTTTTATCCACCATGCAGCTTTTATCTTCCTGTGTTAAGAAATTGAAGAGTATTAACTTAAAATTCACAAAGTGTCACTATTTGCCAAGCCACACAAAAGCTCCTTCCTATATAGTTAAATTTCTTTTTCAAGCAAGGTTTTAATTCTTGGTGTGTAATTTTTTTCACACTTAAGCATAATTCTTTTACTTGAAGCAATTCTTTTTTCTCAGTAACACGAGAAAAACTCTCTTAAATCCTTGGGTCTTGCAAGTTAAGAATTAATTTTGTTGCACTGATGGCTGTTTGCTCATTGTGTTTAAAGGATTAGCTTGCCAAGTTATTGAATGAAGGTCAAGTTAATATTAATGCATTAGTTGAATTGTGGATGTTTTCAGAGACTTTACCTTTTATAAAACCACTAAAAATTTAAGTTTTTAAGCAAAAAGAATGCTAATACTTTGTGATTTTTTAAAAGTATGTTGTTTGTATAGGGACTAAGAATGGGAAGAATACTGTTCAGTGGGTCAGTGCAGTCTTTGACAAGGCACTCGGACACGAGCATGTTTTTTTTGTATATGTAAAATGAACTTTGGCTGGGCTTCATCTTTTGCAGTATGTTACTATTTTTCGGTAATGCTACCAAAAAACTAATTTAGTGCTACTGTGTCTAAGCCCTTTAACCATCAGTTTACTTACCAGAAAAACTAGGCCAATAAAACTAACCTCAGAGATCCTGTGTGGGTTGTGGGATTTTGTATGAGAGCACCTGGAATATTTTCTGGCACAGAGTAGCAAGGAGCTCAGCAAGTGTTAGTTAATATATCATTACATTTTCCTTGTAAGGGAAATACACATGCTTTTTCATAATAGATCATTTTAGTAGAAAAGTTGAACAAGATAAAAACAATAGCACCTAAGATATCTTTGGTCAGTTTTAAAACATGTTTGTCTTTAAAAGTTATGTATTAACTAATCTTGGGAACAACTTTTACACCTTTTGTCATTTATCTTGTGGAAGAATGATTCACCCCGATTCAAGGTGTAGTGAGTGTCTGCAGTGGATCCTTTGGAACCTGACAGTTTAACTTGTTTGTGCTGCAACTGTCAGTTTCTGATTACCTCAGCCTCACCCATCTTTTGACCTATACTAGTTTGCTTTACAAGTTGTTCCCAGGATGGCTAAATTAGAAAAGTCACGAGTAGGAGCTTCTCAGTTATTTCCATTCACTGGTCAGGTGAAATGGGAATGTGGATGATAGCTTAGAGTGTTTTGTGGCTGACAGTGCAACACAGGAATTTGGTTAACACAGGAATTTGGTTAAATTTGTTTTACTATTTTTATTTAAAATAGAATTTTACTAATATATAGCTTTTAAAATTGTAACATTAAAAATATATATGTTAAGTCTGGTACTGCAGTTGGTGTATAAAGCACATAGAAATGTGTTTTAAATACCATGATTCTGCCCTGGTGGGTTGGCCTGGTTGACTGTAGCAGCGTCCCACACACCAAAAGGTTGCAGGTTTGATCCCCAATCAGGACATGTATGTGAGGCAACCATTCGATGTTTCTGGCATTGATGTTTCTCTCTCTTCTTCCTTCCTCTCTCTAAAAATCAATAAACATATCCCCTGGTGAGGATTAAAATAACAATAAATAAATAAATAAATAAATAAATAAATAAATAAAATACCATGATTCTAATATGGAAGTCAGATTTTTATTGTTATAATTTAGTGTATTTTTCCGAAATGAGTTACTTTAGATTATTCTACCTAGACTACTTAGTGAGAGAATTTAATCTTGATCCGTGAGGTGATGGATGAATGAATTGAATTATCACTTGGGATGTATTCATTAATGTTTTCAGATACATACATTTTAAGTTCATTCTTAAAAAGATTTTTGTTTCACTTGGATTTATTTCGTAAGAGTTATGTCTTGGCTTAGTATAGCATTTAAGCTAGTGGACAAGAATTACTTGTTAGTAAAGAATAGAATAATTTGAATATTTTGCACATCCCTATTAATATATTTTTAAAATTCTACCCTTTTTGCCAGGTTTTTATTATGATTACTACAATCCCTGTCATTTTAATATCTAAATCAGTGCCTCTATAAATAAATCTAAAGTGATTATCTTAAAATAAATTTGGTATGTTAGTTATAATCTAGACAATGTTCATTACTCATTTTTTGACTTACACTGTTTTATTTAGCAGCTGATATTAACCTTTCTCAATCTTTAATATGTGAAGTGATAAATGAGATTTTACCTTTCTAATTAGTAGCTGTTTTAGTAAGCACTCTTCCTACATTAAAAATAATAATCCAACCACTCTTTTAAGGACTGTTAGAGATAATAGGTTAAAATTCATTTTAACAAGCTATTATCCAAGTTATTGGGCACTAGCAGGTTGATATCTGTTGACCCTGACAAGGTATTACATAATAATATCTGTAGTCTCACCAGTATGATCTGATAGAAATATTTCCACATAATATGCTTTCCAGGCTACTAGGTTTTCCACTAATAAGGGAGTATTAAGGGAGGCCTGTAATACAATATGCTGAATATCTTTGGAGTGGCGATTGGAATAGCAGGTGTGAGTGGTGCCTTTCCTTACCAAGTGATTAAAGAGGCTGTTTGCTCTAGAATAGATAGTTCACCATGAAACAGTGCAGAGGCTTCCTTAGGATATTGTGTTGGGGGAAAATGCTTTAAGTATGATGCTGCCGGGATTGTGTTCTGTATGATTTGGTCCCTTGGGATTTGAGATCATGCTTTTCTGTGTAGTTTTTTAATAGTAGATTCTTTTTTTTTAATTTACATTTTTATTGATTTCCAGTTTGGGGCTAGTATGAATAATGTATCAAGATACATTTTTATGTCTGTCTACTTTTAAACATAAAATATATTTTAAAATCTCTTTCAATGGCATCCTGTTTTTTTGTTTTACAAATTCATTGTCTTCTCAAATCTCTTTGAGTACATTGCTTTTTTTTTTTAGTACACTCTTTACATGTGATTTTTTTAAATTCTCATTTCTTGCTAGGCTCTGGGCCATTTATTTTCAGCTAATGGGTTTCTTCAGATGTCTGATGGTTCTTGTCTGTCTGCTTATTTATGTTTAAAGGAAGGGAGTAGTAAAGCAGTTGAGCCATCTCTCTTTAGTTCTGCTTACCCCTGCAGAAGGTCTCCCCCAGGTGGACTTGTCTGACATATGCCAACATCGAATCTCACCTACACCTGCTCCTCACTCTGAATCCATATTTAGGGTCGTGCTTAACCATACTGGGTTATGACTGTTTGTCTTCCTTACAACTATAGATTTCAACAGCAGATGCCATATCCAACTAATTTCAATTTGTATATCTAACTTTTCTTTCGTTGTGCTTCATAAATAATAAACACATTTGTTGAATCGAATTTTATATCATATTTAATTGTCATGCATTAAAAGTGTGTGTGTATTTGTTTTTTAGAGGCGTGGAGCTATTTCCTATGACAGTTCTGATCAGACTGCATTATACATTCGTATGCTTGGTAAGCATTTTTTATTTTCTACCAATATCAGTTAACTTTATTAACATCTGCTATTATTTGAAATTGAGATTTATTTAAATAGGTAGCTTTTCATCACTGTTTGCAGCAGGGATAATCTGTTACTTTGTAACTGAATCTAGAAACCAGTATTGAGTGTGATATGAATAAAGTGGCATTGGGGTTATAGGTAATTGAGAAATTGGCTTAATAGCTGGGACTGTCACTAGTGCCCAATTTTAAATTGCGTTCTGAGTATTCTTCCTAAAGTCTTAGATTCGTAGAGTTGCTAAGTACTAAGTAGATGTCCGTGCCAGCACAGACAAAGGCGAGGCCGTGGAATACCTACCTGATCAGAGAGTCCTGCTGCTGGGTGTATTTTGTTCTCGGTTGGCTGGTGAGGAAGACCATTTGTCTTCTAATCTCAGTTTTTAAATTTTTAGTGTATTATTTAAGTCCACAAAGTAAAATGAATTTTCACGTATATGTATATAATTTCTCTCTCTCTCACATTTAGCCCTTTACCCCCTCTTTCTTGATCCCTTGTACTTTAATTCATACTGTTAAAAATGTAATGTTAGGATTCCAGTAGGCAAATTTGCCCACCTTTTCTTAGAGGCATCTTCCATGGCGACCTCCTCATGCACAGTTCTTCCCTCAATTCTATGATACTGAGATTCCTTGTCTTTCACCTACTTTTTTGTTGTTGTTTTTTGCCTTTTTCACTAATTCCTTTTCATACTCTTGAGCCTAAATGTTCTCCAGGGCCCTGTTTTTGCTCTTTCCCTTTCCCGCCCTCTTATTTACCTTGTTATCTCATCTGCCTCAGTCTCATTCCACTCTGGTACGTGTTGTCCCCTTTCCTCTTCACTGTCGCCATCTCTCTCCACATCTATTCAGGATGCTGCTCTCACTGAAACAGAGATTTAGACTTACGGTTTTTAAAACTCTGTGGAACTTCTCCACATGGGCGTATAATGGGTACTTCACATTTAACTTGTCTATTAAACAAAAGATTTGTGTTCCCAAGGCTGTTCATTTTGCAGTCTTGCCATCCCAGAAAATGTAACTCCATTCTTCTGGAGTCATTCTTGACTTATTTCTTATGTAATCTACGTCTACTTTATCAGCAAATCTTCTTGGCTGATATCTGCAAAATATAACCAGAATTCTGCCACCCCAGTTGTGTTACCATCCTATCTAAGCCATAGTTGATTTTTAACTATAGTCACATTGTTATACATTAGAGCTCCAGAACTTACCTTGCATAACTGAAATGTTGTACCCCTTGACGAGCATCTTCCCATGTCCCCCTCCTCACAAGCCAGTTATTACATTGTTTATTGCTCTCAGTCCTTAACTGGTTTCTCTGTGTCTACCTATGTAAATCTACTCAACTCTAGTCTACCCTGCCAGAGCAAGTCTTTTCACACATAAGTTAAATCACTCTCACTCGTATGTTCAGAATTCTCTAATAGTTTTCTATCATAGAATAATAGCCAGAGCCATTGTAATGTCCCATAAAGGTCCAACATGATTTGGCCATACTACCTTTCTGACCTCACCTCCCACCAGTTCCCTTCACTGACCTCACTTCAGCCATGCTGACCTCTTTGCTTGACCTAGAACATGCCAAGCATACTCCCATTTAAGGGTATTTATTTATACTTTTCTTTCTTGCACCTGGAAACCTCTTCGTCCAGATAACCATAGGGCTCACAGCCTCACTTCCTTCAGGTCTCTGCTCATATGCCTCCTTTTCAGTGAGGCCTTCTCTGACCACACTAATGAATCGCTCCTCCTCACCTCCTCCCTCTTGTTCCTCTTACCTTGCTTTCGTTTTCTCCATTTTACCTATTGCCATCGTCTTTAGAATGAAATTATTTATTTTATTATTTGCCTCATTCCATGAAAGGATAAGCTTCATGAAGACAGAGACTTTGATGTATTTTGCTTACTGCTGTATATCCTGAGCCTGAAGGGTGGTTGGGTGCTCAGTAAACATTTACTGCAGAGTGAAGGAACCACCACTTGAGAAGTGATTAAACATGTTGGGATGGACTCCTGGCAAATGACAGGAGCCTTGAAAGAAATGATGGCCTTACTTAGAGAAACAAAGAGTAAGCAGGAAAGCCTTGGAGGCATGTAGAATTGCAAGAGCACAGGAATAGGGACTGAAGACAAAGGTCATGAGCCTGGAGGCTGAGGAAGTGTAGTGGAGCCTGCAGAGCGAAGTTTAAATCCTGCTCACCCTTTACCCTAGCTTCCTGGCATGGACCTGCCACTTCTCAAAATCTTAGTTTCTACATTTGTAAAATGGGATAAAGGTCCTATCTGTCAGAGTTGGTTAGAGAATTAAATAAAGTAATGTCTATAATGCCCAAAAAGGAGTGCCCAGTCCATGGTTTGCACTGGTGCTGTATAGAGAAGTACATCTGCACATCATATGGGTAAATGCAGAAATAATACTGAGCTTGTAAAGACTAAAGTGTAAGCACCGGCTGGTTTTCTCAGTGGATAGAGCATCAGCCCACAGACTGAAGGGGTCGAAGTTTCGATTCCCAATTAAGGGCAGTTGCAAGTTGATCCCCAACCCTGGTCAGGGTGCCTATAGGAGGTAACCATTCTATGTCTCTCTCACATCAGTATTTTTCTCTCTTCCCACCCCCCTCC